ATTTTGGCTCGCGCTCCTGAGGAGGCGATTGAGAAGTATAAGGCCTCAGCTGAATATGCTAGAGATCTCAAGGCATCTGTGGAACAGTATAAGACGTCGTCTGATTATGCTAGGGCTTTGAATTCATATGGGGGGGAAGGCGATGTCAGCGTCTATCAAATTCTCCAAGGAGTGGATTATGGCCGAGCATCCTTCTATAGACCCCTCTGGCTTGGATAGATTTTTTGCGCAGCGCAAGGGAAAGGAGAGTGCAGCTCAGTCGTCCAAGTCACTTGGTCGTTCATCGCGAGGCGATAGTGGGGATCTCTCCCCTTTGGGCTGAAGCATTTCTTAATTATTGTTTTCTTTGCTAGCTCTTCATTTTTCGTGTTTACTTTTGTTTAGTGTTGTTATCTCCTACTTGCTCGGGGTGTGGACAAGAATTTCTCGGATGTATAAACATGTTTTTCATTCGATATCATTACTGCTGAGTGCGTGGTTCTTTCAAATTGTTATTTCTATTTTTCTTTTTACCGCCTGATGGTGCGGGGTGTTAGTTTTTTTTTTTCTGACTAACATCCAGTGATTGATGGCCTTAGCCAAATTTAGCCTTATGTTACCCCGTGCTTAAGTAGTAGGCTATGTCGTCCACAGGGAGAGGGGTCCTGCAGTTTAGGACCTCAGCCAACTTTTTGACATTTCATGGTTCTTTGCCTAGCTGTGTAGGCTCTGTCGATCGCAGGGGTTGGTCTGACGGTTAAGGGCCTCAGCCAATTTTTTGACTTTTCAGGGCTCTCCGCCTAGCCGCGTAAGCTCTGTCGATCGCAGGGGGTGGTCTGGCGGTTAAGGGCCTCAGCCAATTTTTTGACTTTTCAGGGTTCTCTGTCTAGCCGCGTAGGCTATGACGATTGCAGGGGGTGGTCTGGCGGTTAAGGGCCTTAGCCAATTTTTTTACTTTTCAAGGCTCTCCGCCTAGCCGCGTAGGCTATGTCGACCGCAGGGGGTGGTCTGGCGGTTAAGGGCCTTAGCCAATTTTTTGACTTTTCAAGGCTCCCCGCCTAGCCGCGTAGGCTATGTCGACCGCAGGGGGTGGTCTGGCGGTTAAGGGCCTTAGCCAATTTTTTGACTTTTCAAGGCTCCCCGCCTAGCCGCGTAGGCTATGTCGACCGCAGGGGTGGTCTGGCGGTTAATGACCTTAGCCAATTTTTTGACTTTTCAAGGCTCTCCACCTAGCCGCGTAGGCTATATCGACAGCATGTCTTCGTGGGATGAGCGTGAATTTCAAAGTTGCCTATTAGCATAAAAAATTCTTTGTCTTGTGAGCTCAGCAGGCGCACCGGGATGTCCCAGCTAGGCTGGCCCTTCCATAGAGCCCTCATCATCCGTCACCGCCAAGGTCTTTCATTGAATAAGAAATGTTACAAATAAAGGTGCCTTCGTAAGGCATTACATGGAGAAAATAAACGATGCAATCTAGTCTATTGTATTTACAAAAGTGCAGCCTGTGCGCACATTTCGAAATCTACTGGTAATACTTTTTGAGGTATTCCGCGTTCCACGGTCTACCTAGCGGCCTTCCTTTCATATCTTTCAAGCTATAAGTTCCCTTTCCCAGCCCGCAGATTACCTCGTACGGGCCTTCCCAGTTGGACCAAGCTTTGGTGGGAGGTGTCCTGCCGTCGCTGCATCTCTTAGCACGAGATCTCCTGGCTGGAAGACCCTTGGCTTGACTCTCTTGTTGAAGTACTCTGCGGCTCTTTGTTTATAAGCCATCATTTTTATTGCCGCCTTATCCCTTACCCCTTCAAGGAGGTCGAGTTCTCCTCTAGTCGCTGCTTCATCATGTTGCTTGACTTTCATCCTTCCCGTCTCGCTTAATATCTCAACCGGAACCACCGCTTCCATCCCAAAAGCCAATTTGAATGGCGTCTCCCCGATCGAATCTCGAGGAGTTGTGTGATATGCCCATAGTACATTGGGCAATTCCTCCGCCCAAAGCCCTTTTTCCTTTTCCAGCCTCGTCTTCAGATCCCATAGTATGGTTCGGTTGGTCACTTCAGCCTGCCCATTTGCCTGTGGCTGAGCAACTGAAGTCAGCCTGTGGTCGATGTGGTAACTTGTGCAGAATGCTCAAAAACTATGATTGTCGAATTGTTTTCCATTATCAGTAATGATTACTCTGGGTATGCCAAACTTGCATATGATATTCTTCCAGACAAATCCCTGTACCTTTGTAGTTGTGATGGTGGCCAATGGTTCAGCCTCCACCCACTTAGTAAAGTAGTCTACGACGACTAGCAAGAACTTCCTTTGTCCCTTAGCCAGGGGCAAAGGTCCCAAGATGTCCATCCCCCATTGGAAGAAAGGACACACCTCGAAAATTGTCGTCTGTTGCTCGGCAGGAATGTGGATCAAATTTCCATGGCGTTGACATGCATCGCATTTCCTCACCAAATCTTTAGCATCTTCCTTCATATTAGGCCAATAATATCCTTGTCGAAGCGTCTTGAACGCAAGTGCAGTGGCCCCTTGGTGGTTGCCACAAATTCCCGCATGTACCTCGACCAGCACCTCCTGTGCCTCTGTTGGTCGCAAACACTTCAAATACGGCATTGTGAAACCTTGCTTGTAGAGCAGTCCATCGATGATGGCAAACCAGGCTGCCCGAATTTTTAGCCTTCTTGCCGTAAAAGCATCTTCCGGCAATTTGTTCTTTGTTAGATATTCAAAAAACGGGTCCATCCAACTCTCCTCATGCTCTACATTCATAACATCTGTCGTGTGTGGAATGCTAGGTTGCTGCAGAATTTGCACGCTTGCTGTGCGAGGTAGACGTCTGGGGTTAGCGGATGCGAGCTTAGCCAGCGCGTCCGCTCGCTCATTGTCCTTTGTGGAACCTTAGTTATCTTAAACCTGGTAAACCCCTTCTACAAGTTTTTGTCCTTCATTAAGTATGCTGCCATCTTTCCGTCTTTTACTTCGAATTTCCCTGTCATTTGCCCGATTATCAATCGAGAGTCGCTGCAAATTTCTACTGAAGTTATCCGAGTCTGGCTGCCAATCTTAAACCCGTGATCACTGCCTTATACTTGGCATCGTTATTTGTAGCTGGGAATTCAAAACGCAACGAGTACTCCAACTTTTTACCATTCGGCCCTATCATTATGATCCCAGCTCCGGATCCTTCGTCGTTCGAAGATCCATCGACAAAGATTTTCCAATCTGTCTGTCCCCTAGTGGGTGTTCGGGCGGAAGGGTGAGTTCAACGATGAAGTTTGCTAGAGCTTGTGCCTTAATAGCCATCCTTGACCTGAATTCAATATCAGACTCACTTAACTCAATTGCCCATTTCAACATCCTCCCAGAAGTCTTGGGTCGATGTAGGATCTGCTTGATAGGTTGGTCGGTCATTACTTGCACCGTATGAGACTGAAAGTAAGGCCTCAGCTTTCTAACCGCTACAATCAATGCAAACACCAGCTGTTTAACTAGGCTGTATCTTTCTTCCGCGCCCCTTAATACTTGGCTCACATAGTAGACTGGTTTTTGCGCCTTTGAGAACTCTTTCACCAGCACCGCGCTGACTGCCCTTGGCTAGACTGCCAAGTAGAGACACAACACATCCCCGGGGCATGGGTTGGTCAAGATCGGTGGCTCTTATAATGACTGCTTCAAGCTCCTAAGTGACTCTTCACATTTCTAGGCCCACTCGAAGTTGGAGGAGCCCCCTATAGCTTTGAAAAAGTGTTAGCATTTGTCTGCTGCCCCGCTCATGAAACGATTTAAGGCGGCTACCCGCCCTGTCAACCTCTGGACTTCCTTCCTGCTGGTGGGACTTTTCATTTCTAGGATCGCCTGAATTTTGTCCGGGTTGACTTCGATCTCCCTTTGCGTGATCATGAATCCTAGGAATTTTCCCCCTGCAGTGCCAAAAACACACTTCTCTAGATTGAACCTTAACCTATTTTGTCGGGCAACGTCAAACACTTTCTGTAAGCAGGTCACATGGTCATCAGCCTTAGCTCTCTTGACCACCATATCGTCAACATAGACTTCTACAACATCTCCAATCAGTCTACGGAAGACTTTGTTTACCATCCTCTGATACGTCGCTCTTGCGTTTTTCAATCCAAACGGCATGGCCGTGTAATAGTACGTGCCAAAGTCAGTGATAAATGACGTCTTCTCTTGGTCGGACTCGGCCATTGAAATTTGATGATATCCTGAAAATGCATCTAGGAAGCTGAGCCTTCCGTGACCTGAAGTTGCGTCTACCAGTTGATCTATTCTGGGAAGCGAGTATGAGCCTTTTGGGCACACCTTATTCAATCCAGTATAATCTACACACATGCGCCACTTTTCGTTTGACTTCTTCACAAGTACAATGTTTTCCAACCACTCAAGGTACTGCACTTCTCGGATGAAACCCGCCTGTAGTAGTTTTTCTACCTCCGCTCTGGCTGCAGCCTGCCTCTCGGGGGCGAGATTTCTTTTTTTCTGCTTCACTGGCTTAGCCCCTGGTTGGACACTGAGGTGGTGCTGCGCGACGGTCGGGCTAATTCCTGGGGTATCCTCTGGGCCCCATGCGAAGACATCCATGTTACCGGCTAGACACCTTGCCAATTTTTCCTTCTCTTCGGATCCCAAACCTGTTCCAACACTAAACTCCCGTCCTTCGGCAATAAAGATTTTTTCAATCATATCGAGTGGTTCGATCCGCTCCCTCGGGAGTTCCACATCCAGCATCATGACTGATGGTGAGCCCTTGGCTTGTATACTATCCACATAGCACTTTCTTGATGCTTGCTGGTCCCCTCGCACACTCCCGATTCCACTACTGGTTGGAAACTTCATAACTTGATGATAGGTCGATCGGACCACGCCAGCTGCATTTAGTAATGGTCGGCCGTAAATAGTATTGTAGGCCATGGGGGTCTTGACAACCAAGAAATTAGTCACGATGACCACTGTCGCCGGGTACATCCCTAGTGTGACTGAAAGCTCCACAGTCCCCTCCGGTATCACTGTTGCCCCTCCAAAGCCTTGTAGGGGGTAGTCACCATCTTCAACTTCTCTTGGGGAACTTTTAGACCCATGAAGGCATCCCAGGTGAGGAAATTTGCCGCACTTCCTCCGTCGACTAACACCCTTTTCACGTCAAAATCCGCTATATCGCCTACTATTACTAAGGCATCATCATGGGGGTGCGTCACACCAATCAAGTCCCCTTCATTGAAAGTAATGCTCTGGTTGAATCTTGCTTTTTTCTGAATACAGCAGACCCCTGCGGAACGCGCATAGCTTTTTCTAGCCGAATTTGAGTCGCCGCCTGATGCTATTCCTCCGATGATCATGTTTATCACTCCTGTTCTCGGTGGGGGTAGACCTTTGAGCCTTTGCTTGCCCTTGTCATTTTTCACATACCTAGCCAATAGTCCCCGTCTTAGCAGGCGCTCAATTTCTTCCTTTAATTGTAGGCATTCTTCGGTATCATGCCCGTGATCTCTGTGAAAATGGCAGTACTTACTCTGATTTCTCTTGCCGGAAGGAGTTAGCATCGGTTTAGGCCATTTGAGCTCTTTCATGTGCTGTATTTCCATCAATAACTTTGTACGTGGAATGTTCAAAGGGGTGGGTGTCTTGACCTCCTCTCGCTTCTGCCTGACCGGCCGGTCTTGGGCATAACCCTTGTTCATGCGTTCATTCTTCGGCTTGTTCTTATCAGTGTGCTTTTGCTCGTCATATGTTTTTCGCTTATGAACTTCTGCCTCCCTTCCATCCCTGAGATTTTTAGTTATCTTCTCTGCTTCCTCCACATCGACATACTTGTCTCCGTTCTTCAATAGGTCATGCATCGATTCTGGGGGGTTCTTGGAGAGTGACATCTTAAAGGCCCAGTTTCGCGTTCCATTCATCAAGGTGGTAACCACTGCAGACATTTGCAGGTCTCTTATGCCGAGAGTTGCCCGACTGAACCTAGCTAAGTATTCCTGCAATGACTCGTCCTTGTCCTGTACGACCTGCATCAACCCAATGGCTATCTTCCTCTTTCTCGTGCTGCTTAGGAAGTAAGTACAAAGCTCCTAGAGAGCTCATCAAATGACTTGATGGACCGCGGGGCCAAGGTTGCTACCCAGTCCCTAGCCTTCCTCCTGAGTGTGGGGGGAAAGGATCGGCACATCATCGCGTCCGGGGCGGCATAAAGTCTCATCAGATCTACGAAGGTTCGCAAGTGATCAAGTGGGTCCGTGACTCCGTCATATGCTTCTATCATGGGCTGTTTGAAACCTTTACGCAAGGGGACAGCCATGAACGGGTCTTCCCCCAAAACCATCTGTCTCCACCTATCCTTTCTCTTGGACAAGGCATCATCTATCTTTTGGGCCATGATTTCCTCCATCTTTTGTTCCAGGTCTACCATGGTTTGCGGGGGCTGTTGAGCTTCGATTTCTAGGGCTCCCGTATCTCCCGCCCCCTGTCGAGAGATGGGCGGGACAACCGTGGGTGGCGCTTGAGGCGGTTGCTGGCTCGTCATTTCCGTCGAGCTCAATGGAGAGACAGTGGCTCTCTGCGATTGGTCCTGTAGGAGTGCCATCATTGCTGCCAATTGAGTCTCCAAAGCGCTGAATTGACTCTGCGTCACATACTGCGGGGGTGGCGACGGCTCACGTCCCCTTGCAACTGACTCCGACTTCGCCGTATTCCCAACCAGGCGAGTATCACTCCTTGTCCGTCTTCTTGACATGGCTTTTTAGTTCAAATAGTTTCCCATAGACGGTGCCAATGAGATGGTGGTGGACCAACACCCTCCTATTTGCCTGGTAGTGCTCGGCGTTTCATCTACTTCGTCTAGTATATATGACCTGAAAAATGAAGGCGGGGCTTCCTCCCCCGTTTTACCTCCGGTGTGAGAATTAGTTTATAGGCTTGAAAAAATGTGATTGGAATTCTAATGGTGAAAAAGAGAGATAGAGAGAGAGAATAACCTCTTTCCTGTGTCGGGTCCGGAGGTACTTATAGACATTAGGGGGCGAGTAACCGCTAGGCGGATGTGGTGCCACGTGTCCCACGTTGGCGTTCCCACTATGCCCATGTTCTGAGTGGGGGGGTCTCTAGTTTCCCGCTTGGAGATTGTTTCCGTATTAGTGGCCATGGAACCTAGTTAATTCACTAGGAGTTTTATGGTTAAGTGTTTGGATAGACAGTTCCATGCCAATTGTAGATCTCGCGTAGTGGTAGAGCGCCCCCTGGAGGTAGTGGTGAAGCGTCCCTAGGGGGTCGACGACCTCGCGTAGTGGTAGAGCGCCCCCTGGAGGTAGTGGTGGAGCGGCCCTAGGGGGTCGACGACCTCGCGTCGAAGTGCTGTGATCCATCTTGCTTGCCGTCAAGGGCGGTTTCCTCTACCAACCTATATCACTATCTATTTGTAGTTTTAGGAAGAAGTTATCTTTATGTGTTTTTTGGAAACTAATTTTTAAAGCACCCTTTATTTCAAAAGTGCTTTTAGAGGAAACCACATTAACACTTTCATAAAATTAGTTACAAGGGTCCAAAAGTAAGTTTTGAATCTCTAAAGTTGTCTTTTCAAAAATCATGTCAAACGGGCTTCTGTTTTCATGTCAATAAATTAAAACAAAATATGAGTTCAAGACCACCCCATGAAGATGTCTGTCTACAAGCTTAACGTGGATGGAGCTGGCGGGGGCAGAAATGGTGATCAGTTTGGACTCTGGTCGCTTATAAGTTCTATTTTACAAATGGGTTTTAGTAGACTTTAATAAATTTAATTGGGCTAATTATTTAAATCGATCCAATTCATTTATATATATATATATAATTTTAAGTTGTTTGTGTTGCCTCTTACTTTTCGTATTTATTGTGAAAACAATATGTATAACATGCATAAATAATTTTAAGTTGTTTGTGTTGCCTCTTACTTTTCGTATTTATATATATATATATATATATAACATGCATAAATAATTTTAAGTTGTTTGTGTTGCCTCTTACTTTTCGTATTTATTGTGAAAACAATATGTCCAAAATTAATGTCATTACTTGGGTCATATCATAAGGTGCTGAGACATACACATGTAGAAAATGCATATCGCTTAATTATTTGCGAGTTGCTAGCACCAAAGCTTCCAATTTTGCACTTTTTAGAGTTCGACAAGACAAGAAGCCTTTCAAAGAGACAAACCCAATAATTCCAAAATATGGCATTTAATTCATGACCATAATTTATCTATATTCCAGTCACGTTCTCTTTTGATTTTCGATTTTAATTCTCCTCGAATTTATTTTTAGTTCTGTTTTTCTAACATTAAATCACATTTGAAAAATTAATAATTTATTAAATAGGAAAGTAAATGGAAATATTTTAATTCCCACCATCGTTCCCGTTCCATTGCCATCTTTAATGGAAAGAGACCGCTTGCTATATAGTTATCCAAATTTTACCGTTTTCATAACAATTAATGAAGTAATTGAATTAGAAGTCGCCAAAAAAATATGAATTATAACGTTTAAATAAACCTTTAAAGAAAGGCCAATGAATTGTAAATTTTAAATTTTCCACCTCAAAAATAATTCAGCTTGTGATGAAATAAAGTGATAAAATTCAACTTTTCCTGCAAAGCATTAATTCAAGAATGCACATTTTCTTGTAAGATCGGTACGTTTATCATCCATTTTCACTAAAAGAATAAGAAGGAATATAATCCGTACAATACATTCAACTTTAGGCTAAACTATGTACAACACTGTAACATATAAGAATTTGAGCAACTCTTCTTAATAAAGTGTACCATGGAAATTGAAGTCGTATTATAGTATCAGAATCCGTTAAGGATAAATTCTACATTGAATAAAAATGAAAATTCTTTATTAAAAATTCGAAGACAAGAACAAAAGATAGAGAAATGTATATAGGCTTATAAGGGTTCGTTTGGGCTATTCCCTTTAATTAGGCAAAGCTTTTAAGATGGAACTCCAATATAGAATAACACGACCATAACTTGTGGACTAGTCAGATATGTGGAACTTCAATAGGACTGTGGATAAACAAGAGGTGGGTTTTAATCTCGAAGTACAAATAAAGCAGAAGCAGTACAAAAGATGTCGATAATTTCTTTGGTGATGGAGATGGATAATCGTTTGCGTTCGCTTCTTTCTCCTCTTCATGAATTGTTTCTAACATCTTTGATGCTCGGTGCCTCGTGATGTCCACAAACTGTGGTGGTGCTACTTCGATTATAAATCTAGCAATTCGAGCATTCGCCATTTTTTCTTCAAATATTAAGATGCTAGTAATGTGAAAAAGGGCTAAAGTGTATGAGAAGAGATTTGTTGGGATTGAGAACAACTTAGAAAATGGTTTGGTCGAAATTTATAGGGGAATGCTTCGCTTTATTTCCAATAACTCGATGATATTACAGCATTATGTGCAGTGTTAAATTGAGTGAGTGGTCCTAATCAAATGTTTAAATAATTTTTGGCTGTTTGTGCCGCCTCTTACTTTACATATTTATTGTGAAAACAATATGTCGAAAGTTAATTTCTTTACTGGGGTCATAAGGTGCTATGTGTCTATGTATGTGTAGAAAATGCATATGCCTTTGAATATTTGCTTTTTGTTGGCTCCTTGCTCTGTCCTGAAATTGACAGGAAGATGCCTATTAATGCCATCTTTCAGTAAATGATTGTCATGGAAAGGGTCTCTGTAAGAGTTGGAAGGTGTCGTGTAGAACTATGTGGAACGATCACGTCGCTAATCTCAAATTTATTGGGAATAAGGGTTGATTTGTTGTCTTCTTGCATATACTATGTGTTTAGAAGTCGGTAATCCATATATTTCTTGGCCCTTAATTTTTTTGAGTAATACCTTCTCAGCTTGAAAGGACAATCTAAGAAGACCTTATTTGGGGAAATTAAAAAAAAAAAAATTACTAGAAGGTAAAGTACAATGTACGATCAACTGACCAAACAATCACAATAAGTCCCTATTGAAATGAAAATGGGTGGAATAATGTATTTTTGAAAAATGAGTGATTGAAAAAGAAGGAATTTTTTTCAATTCACGTGTAATATTATTTTATGAAAAATTATGTGATTTAAAATAGGAGATAAAAAATGAAATGGAATTTAATGAGAACCAAACGGGGGCTAAAAGTTCAATAGGTTATATATATTGTTGAACACTTCATCTAAAAGATTTAAATTGTTAGAAAATCGACACGTTTATTTAGCTAGATTCAGTCTTTAACACGATTCAACAAGTGCATATCAAAATTGTTTTCATGTATACTTCTCATACATAAGTAATTGCAAAACTTAAACTCAAATCATACGTCTAATCTTATGTCTTCTCTAATACTATTTTGAACTACCTAATTTAAATACTAAACCCGAATTTATTTAAGGACCACATGCATGTTGGAAATATGTAATGTTTAATATAAATTCGTTGCACCTTTCTTTTTAGCTTATCCAAAAGCTAAGTTTCGTCACTGATTTCGTCTCCCCCACAGAAACTTTCCATCACTTCTGCTGTTGCGTCTCTATCTAATATCCTTTTATCCATGGCAAGTCATATCTTTGGGCAATTTGTGTAATAGCTTAGCAAAATGTGCAAAGCAGATAGATGAACAAGATTAATAATAATTTATTTTCAAAATTTTTATCTACCTTCGGGGGCGGACCCGGAAATTTTTTCAATGCGGACGATATTAGTAAAGGTCTAAAAATAACGACATTATAAATCATAACACAAACATAATACTAAAACTAAAAAAACCTTAACAATTGTTCTTAATGAATTTTCATACTTTGATATTTTTGTAAAGTATTGGCGGCGCCTAAACGTTGCCAATGCTTGATGCGTGGCAGAAACATTAAGATATGTGGCTTGGCTCCTTATTTAGCAATCAACAGCAATCATTGACCGCTAATACATGCCTAGACTCGGTTATGCACATCTAGGCGCGCATAATTGTCTCTTTTTTCTTTTTTTCTTTTTTTAATTTTT